TTTGAATGACAGCAATATGACCCGGGTCAAGAGCTAAATAAAAGCGGTGTTTCTCTCGCACGCTCGCGAGAAGATAAATGTGTTTGTTCTTCACACGTTGGTGGACAAGCTGCAGCGAGATTCTCCGTCGTATTTTTCGTGCACAGTCCAGCTCACCCAAAATAAAACTAGGTGGTCACGAACTGCAGTCCATTATGATTGCTTTGTTACAGCCTTTAATATGATAGGTGAACTCCTTTCTATGCGTTACCCTATTACCCGAGACCCCTATTATCTGCGGGGGCTGTAGGATCCGCGAACACTCTTGTTATCAATGTCCCTGTTCCAATTATTCCCCATAAGTGACTGCGCCAGTGGCTTCTAATCACCCGCAATTTTTTTCCGAATTAAAGGGGAGTCCCACGCTGCATAACGGCAATGATGATGGTGGTGAATATGATGGCGGCGGTGGTGTTAATGACGATGGTAGAGGTGTTAATGATGGTGTTGATGACAATGATGACGAAGGTGGTGGTGTTGATGGTGGTGTTGATGACAATGGTGGCGGCAACGATGATGACTGGTGGTGGTGTTGATGGGGGTGTTGATGACGATGATGACTATGGTGGTGGTGTTGATGGTGGTGTTGATGACGATGATGACGATGGTGGTGGTGTTGATAGTGGTGTTGACAATGATGGTGGCGGTGACGATGGTGGTGTTGATGACGATGATGACTATGGTGGTGGTGTTGATGGTGGTGTCGATGACGATGGTGGTGGCAATGATGATGACTGGTGGTGGTGTTGATGGTGGTGTTGATGACGATGGTGGCGGCAACGATGATGACTGGTGGTGGTGTTGATGACGATGATGGCGATGGTGGTGGTGTTGATGGTGGTGTTGATGACGATGATGACGATGGTGGTGGTGTTGATGGTGGTGTTGACAATGATGGTGGCGGTGACGATGGTGGTGTTGATGACGATGATGACTATGGTGGTGGTGTTGATGACGCTGATGACGGTGGTGGTGTTGATGCTGGTGTTGATGACGCTGATGACGGTGGTGGTGTTGATGGTGGTGTTAACGACGATGGTGGTGGCGACGATGATGACGATGTTGGTGGTGGTGTTGATGACGATGATTCGTTATTATTTTTGCATTGTGCTTTTGCACTCGGGGTGTGGATAAATGACGATAATTATAATGACGATGATAGGAGCAACGCTTTATGCCGACCCACGCCTCCTCCCAAATCAAGTTTGGTAAGATCATTTCCCACTGTATTTGGAAATTCAATTTTCACGTGATTCCTCGTGTCAACTCAAACCGCAGGCAACAACAGCTTTTGCCAAATTCACTCACGGAGTGGGAGGTTGGTTGGCATTCAGCCTATTAATTGAGCCGCTTGTGTATTTATTGACAGCCTTTGAGAAAATACTGACGGCATCGTTTTTGTTGAAAAGTCAATGTCGTGTGGCCTTGTCAGTCGGGCTGAGGAGGCATTCATCCAGCAGTTTTAGGATTAAGTGCTGTAAATTATTAGTATCATCCCTTATATCTGACAAATAGATTTCAGCCTCGCGTTTTCCTCGGCTCAAAATATTTCTTCAAAAGCATCGCTGCTCCAATCCCATTTGCTCAATTACTGGTTCCTTTCATCTCGCTAATTCGGTCACGCTTGCAGTCTCCTCATGGCGGCGTTCGTCTTTCGTGAAGAAAGCTCATTTGGCCAGTGAACACAAAAGTCCGATCCAATATTATTCACACCGTTCGAGAAAAATTGACAATTTACAAAAGCCGCCTTCCCAGCCTCATGTCATTGACACGTTGCAACGTTGCTGATATGCATAGAGCAGAACTCGCTAATTGTTTAAAGAATTTATAAAGTTTTTCACTTATTATATCTCGTTTGCGCTATTGGCTATTAAGGCACAGATCAAAGTACAGTGATGAGCTGCATCTGTATTGATCCTTCACAAAGCCCTGTACAGGAATCAGGGTCCAAGGCTGCTTTTGATCTTTTATAAATGGGACTTGCTGAGCACAAGAACACGCTGTCAGCTGTGCAGATGCGTGACTCATCCCCTATCGGTGTGATAATGCGTGGTTTGCAACATACATACAAGCCACAGGAGTAGGTTTTAATTAGGCAAAGAGAGACGTCTTGCTCACCCTTTAACATTTCAGCACAAAGTCGGTAACAATTTGCAGAACGAAAAGAGCACAACTGCTACATCGGCGACCGCATCAGTACTTTGGCTTTTCGCTTCATGAGCTATTGCCGTCATAATGCGCAAGAAGAGACTAGAATCATCACCAGAATCACGTGGATGTCGGAAGACCCCCGCGACGCACAACCAAGAGAGTCCACATTTCACAGCGTTGTAGAAGGAGGCCTTCTGCAATGTTAGGCCGATGTCAGGGCAGATCCGACAAGGCCACGAGGCGGTTAAGGGCCATGCGCGAGAGCGTCCTCCATTCTTGCAGGGACCTTTCCAGGCGGTGGTGGCCACGCACGCGGCCTGCAACCCGGCATGAGGGTTTACGGTGGATCACCGCACACGCGTCCTGAAACTTCCCTCCCGCGGGCATAGAGGCGTAATAACCTGGCTCGCCGGCAGAACGCAGCACGGAAAAGCGTGGGCCGATACCGTCTTGTCCCTTCTGTATGGGATCGAGCGTTGCCCCCTCACTTGTGTGCTTTTTCTACAGGTCCTTCGGCTTCCTCCCACATGCATAATAAACACTCGCCACTAATTGGCTGAAACCATCTTAATATGGAGATAATTTCTGGGCCATTGTTGGCTCCGGCTTTCACGGACTGGCTAGCCCTCCAGCTTGGTCTGTGGTTCCAGCTCAGCGATTGCGAGGTGCAATTTGCATGAGCGATGCTTTATAAAATTAATCATTAGACTGTTTTTATTTTTAGATCAGGTACGCATGTGGAATATCCCCCCCCCACCTGTTTTTTGTGCTAGATGGTAGAGGTATCGTGCGATTAGAAGCGAAGCAGCCTCTAATGTGTCAGTGCATTTGCACAAAAAAAATAACTATGAAACTTAACTAATTTTGATTTTACCAGGTCCGCTGAGCTATATAGCTCTTTTTCAGAAGCGACCTGGCCACAAATGATAGCTCAACGAAGTGGCTTTTCACGTGGACGTTTATACCACCAAATAATAGAGACGTGTGTGTGTCTAAGTGTGGAGGGAAAAAACCGGAGTAATATTTTAATCTGAATTATTATTTGTTATAAAATGTGGATTCTTAATGCACAAATGAAATACAGGTATTATAAACTATCCAGTGTGTGACTGGTCACCCAGAACAGACCGTGGGACATCTAGCAAATCAATTCTCAAATCACAAATACGAAGGAGGAGGCGTCGTCACGACAGCGATGGACCACTCCCCTACTCCTGACGCAATCATCTGGCTCACCCACTAATCCGCAAAAATGATAGCTGTTTCTCTCCTCATCAGCATTGGCCATGTGAAGGGGAAGATGCCTGCTCACACTTGAGTGAAATTCATCAAGTAATTAACCTGCACTACAGAGACAAATATGAACAATCGGACACGTTTAAAAATGGGTAGAACAGCTCTAATTAGGATGTGGGCATGTTTGAGTTGACAACAGAAGGGGTAGGTCAGTTGAATTCCCGAAAGGATTGTGCTCAGTGGGTGTCAAAATTGTGAAACAGAAGAACATTAAGCAAACACAGTTCACCCTTTTATCACGCCTTGTCGGGCAGATTTTTATACAGGCATGGCATTTTCCCTCGCATAATCATCGCAGATGGAAACGAGCCCTTGAAGCCTCAAGTCTCGCGGAGCGTGGGAACTCAATCTCACACCCAGCGTGCTTCTGAGCCGCTCCTGAATTGTGAACAGAGGCAGCTGAATTCTGTTCCCCGGTGGTCGATAGCGTGATATCCTTACGAGTTTGTTCTGAACCTCAACACATTTCCAGCTCTCGGCTGCTTCACTCGGGCAGTCCCTTCCATACGGTGCCCAAAGAGACGTGAGAAAATCTGAATTTTTATCCGTCAGCCATCAGAGTTTCTTTCTGCCAACCTCTTTATCTAAAGTTGAAATCATTAATTTTGACGGACTTATATGACGGAGCATTGTTTTCGCTTGGGTTTTCATAGATAGAGCCACTTGAGGGTTGGCAGTCTTGGTGGTCGTGGATACAGTACTGGGGCCTCAGTAGTGTACAGTAAAGATGCCCTCATGGCAATTGCCTGTTAAAACCAATAGGTTTATGGATTGGCGTGGCACTAGACTATGTTTAAGACTTTGTAACATGCCAACAGATGCCTTTGACCAGGTTTTGGGTAAAAATAAACCTATTTTACGTGCTGCTCATTTCCCCTTGTGGTCCTGATGCAGTAGTAAGCGTGTCTTCACATCACATTGAGTTGGAGTGCTTTGGGACCTCATTGTGAAATGACTGATAATGATGATGGTGGTGGAAATGTCGGTGATCTGTAATCAAATGAGCTGCGTTCAGGTCCTGAGCGAGAGGTGAAAATTTCCCCACGCATTTAGCGAGCACCGTTTTCTCCGTTAGGAACAAGCTGCTATCGAATTTCCTGCAGTGTCCTCGTTACGTTATTTAATCATCCCCAGAAGTGGGACTTCATAAAGACGACCTCTTGACGAGTAATTCAACCCACGTCCTGCCAATCGCAAATTGAGCACGTAACTCGGCATGGACATTACTCATATACTCGTGACATTGACAGTATAAAACAAATATAAAATAAACGAGAACTTTACTGTTGAAACAAAGGCAAAATATAGAGCTTGCAGCATTCAGTTAATAATGTTGGTTTTATATAAATATATATTTTAATAAAACATTAAAATTTTCACTTGTCAGGGTGATGTGAATTTTACGACCAACATTTGTGGTGACGTTGCAGAAGCAGATGATGAAGGCGATTGTACTTGACAATGACGAGCAAGTCCGTTAATACGTTCCGACTCTTTTGACGTCTGTGATGTAGATCAAGAGCCCGATATGAAGACGCAGAGACGGACAGCTCCAAAGCACGCGAGCCGGAGATCAACGGGTGCTTACGCACGCACTCGCACGCGCGGCACACGTGCACAACAAAACAAAGACAAAGATCCCAGTATAGCCTTGACAGACTGTAGGGGCAAGTGCTGTTAGCGAGCACCTATAAAGACCGGCAGGGCACACGAGGGGGTGGGTGGCCAACACCACGCCCGGCCGCCTTTGTCTCCCTAGTGGCGATGTTTACTACACATCACACTAGGTGCTCATTTGAGGCCGAGTCGACCTAGGGGAGGCCCAGGACCGGTTGAGATAATCGTCACTGGTGTTGGCCGTGAGCGGGAATCGAACCCGGGTCGCCAGGTTTGTAGCGCAGCGTAGCGCTAACCGCTACACTACCGCTCCCCACACGTGCACAACACACAACGTGCACAACGTGCGCGCACCCAACTCCGTGCACGCGCACACTTGCACAAACGCACGTGAGAATACTTCATCCTCGCAGCGGCAGCGGATTTTGGCTGCTGCCATCGAACAAAGCCGCTGGTCACCGCATCACCCGGTGCTTTCGGATGCGCTTCTGCGGCCGTCTGGAACGCTCTTCTGATATTAGGAAGCCACTGGAGCTATGCACTTTTAATTCACCATCTATATTGACAAACTCATTCCTGTAGAACGGCTTTTTGTGTTTAGTTTGTGTGCCTTCTCCCGTACCTCCGATTCGCACAATTGGCAACGTACTGGTGCGAAAGAAGTTCAACATACATACTTTCACAAGTAGGTTTTTGCAGCCAACGTTATGATTGCTGATATATTTTTGAGTGATGCCACATAATGGGCTTATCTTCCACCACCCAACACGAGCAATACAACATAATTGTCACGTGTACAGGCTTTGCCTATGTCAAATATTTGGATTGTGAGATTTGTCTTTAAATTTAGGTAATATTTGGAACATTAAAAGCTCATTACTGGTGACAAACGGGTGGTGGAGGGTGTTAACAACACAATTCGATAATTTACACGGCCTCACCCGAAAAACATAATGAATCGCATAAAAGTAACTCGCTCACGTATGTAAGCGAGCACACAATTGGGCACGTAAATACGACCTTGCAAACGTAGAAGTCAAATTTGAGTTCTTGGTGTGAAAAGAAATACAGAATGCGTACGGGACACTCAAAGCTGCCCTCATGAATCTTCAAAAATGCACGCAATTTGTACGCATGTATGTATGTTGAACATCTTTCGCACCGTACGTAGCCAACCGTGTGCTAATCGGAGGCGGCAGGAGGAGTTCACCTTCCACCCATATTGCCAATTTCACAAACACATTGCACGCATCATTCTGATCTGTCCACTTGACATTCCGGGCCTTTGGGATCTCTGCTCAGCATTTGTGCTAAAATATATATTTAGATGCATAACTTTCATATATATTTTTAACTGTCTGAAATTTTCCCTTTTGTAGTTCTTGTTACAAATGTCATCTTCGCACGTTCAGCCCCATCAAACGCTGGCCACCGAAAATAGAATCTCAAAAGACTAAACGCGGTAGATGGTTATTTTAAGTGCGGGTTTGCTCTGAGCCGTAGCTGTTTCGGTCGGGAGGCTGAATTCTCAAAAACAGCTGTGCCGCATCGCTGCCATTGCTGCATATTTAGGCAGCACTTGCGATGTTTGAAGACTGGCTTGGGTTCATTATATCCGCCATGAATACATGTATCCTCACGAGTGATCGATCTCACCTTCCACCCATGTAGCCATCCGTGTGTACCGCTGGATATGGCCGGTTCACACTTGTAGCCCAACACATCGAAGGTCGGATTTGCGGATGGCGTTGAGATCACGTGGCAAGACGCATCTGCACGTGCAGCCAAGTGCTTACAGGACGCAGTTCAGGAAATAGGCTGCCAACCTGATTGCTTGTCTTATTTTTTGTTTGCGTCCATGGGGTGTTTTTTTTTATTGAAACTCCCAAAGGAACAAAAGAAGTTGACCAGACATTTCAAACAGGACCCTGCCTTCCCATAAGAGGGTAATGAGATTCAGCAAGGCCCCGGTTAGTAGGTGGGGGAGCGGTGACGTGGCGGTTAGCGTGCAGCGCTACGAACCCGGGGACACGAGTTCGATTCCCGTTCATGGCCAACACCAGTGACGATTATCTCAACCCATCATGGCCCAACCATTTAACTGTTATAACAAATACAACAGATTTTAATTTCTGTATTAGTATCCAGGAGGTCGTGGGTTCGATCCCAACCCTGACGCCAAGTATATTTGGAATTTGCATGTTTCTCTCCCTGTGGTCGTGTGGATATTTCTTCGAGTCCTCCGGTTTTTCATGCCACATTTAGAATCAATGTTTGTATAAGAATATTCGGCTGCTGTACATTTACGCTGGATAAGCCACTTCGTTAGGCTATCATTTGTGGTGCTTCTGAAACAGAGCTATACATCTCAGTGGGCCTTGTTTGTAAAAACTATGAAACTATAAACTATATTTCGATTTAAAGCTTTCGTGACTGCAGGGATTCATCTTCTTGGTTCTTTCGGTAAAGTCACGTAGAAGGGAAGTAATAAAATAATAAAAAAAAACATAATAAAATAATTCTCATGACGTTTCGAAACGTCGTGAGAATTATTTTATTATGTTTTTTTTTATTATTTTATTACTTCCCTTCTACGTGACTTTACTATAAACTATGTTTATTTTTCCAGGTAAGGCTCATTGAGTTATATAGTTCTCTTTCAAAAGCGACCTGGCCACAACGTGGCTTATCATGTGGACATTTATGGCAGCCAAATAATCTTAAACGCGTGTTTTTAAATGTGAATGGAAAAACCAGAGGACCCGGAAAAAAATCTACGTGGCCATGGAGATAACATGCAAACTCCAAATATACAGGTGTCGGGGTCGGGATCGAATCCGTGACCTGTATACCAGGCGAGGTAGTTAACATCTCGCCACCGTGGCGCCCCATGCGCGTATGATGTACTTCTTGCGCACCGTACGTAGCCAACCCGCTAATCGGAGGCGCCTTTCGCCTGGTAAAACAATTAAAATTAGTTTAGCTCTTTGAGACAGTTTAGTTGATTTGACTCCATCCCTTCAGGTCTGGAAGAGGACGGAAGCGAGCGTAGAGAGGACCCTGTAGCCACGCGGTGGAGGAGCAAGGGGCAGCTCATCGACGCCCCTCCTACCTCACCACGGGCGAGGTACGACTGCTGGGCACCCACCACGAGCGAGTTGAGAGTCCCAGAGGTCTGTTCGCGAGTCGACTTCTTCGCCTCCTCTACACACCAGGGGCTTCCCAAGCTGGCAATCTTTTTTTGTTGTTGTTTAAAATATGAACAGTGTTGCCGTGAGCACAGGCTCAGGTGGGATTCAGGCTCGGCAACAGGGCCAAAGATCCAAACACATCAAGGGGGCAGGAATACATCTTTCTGTATGAGAGTGCAACACATTTGTTGAATGGAGCCAGGATGTTATAATGAGAGCTTTGGTGGGCAGGGGGGGATAGGGAATTTGGGAGGGAATTTCAAAGCGGAGCATTGCAAGGAATGTAGCAGAGCGAGAGAAGTTATGTGACCTGCAGTGTGGTGTGTGAGTGGGTGAGTGAGTGGGTGAGTGAATGAGTGGGTGATTGTGAGTGAGTGAGTGCGTGGGTGAGTGGTTGTGACCTGTAGTGTGGTGAGTGAGTGGGGTGAGTGAGTGGGTAAGTGAGTGAGTGGTTGTGATCTGAAGTGTGGTGTGTGAGTGAGTGGGTGAGTGAGTGAGTGCGTGGGTGAGTAAGTGAGTGGGTGAGTGAGTGAGTGTTTGTGACCTGCAGTGCAGTGAGTGAGTGGGGTGAGTGAGTGGGTGTTTGTGACCTGCAGTGTGGTGAGTGAGTGTGTGGGTGGGTGAGTAAGTGAGTGGGTGGGTGAGTGGGTGGTTATGACCTGCAGTGTGGTGTGTGAGTGAGTGAGTGTGACCTGCAGTGTGGTCCGTGAGTGAGTGAGTGAGGGTGAGCGAGTGGATGGGTGCGTGAACACAATGTGGTTGAGGCACACCAGTCCGCCTGGTGACTCTTGAGCAGCTGGTGTAACTATCTAAAAGTGCTTTTTGAACTTGACAAAAAAAATGTTTCTGTACGATTGAATAAAGAAAAACAAAATGTGAATGAATGTGCCAGTGGGCAAGGTTTCATGTCCATTAATTTCACCATTTTGTGGAATTTTAAGGACATCAACATCCCTAACACGTTGCATTTGTGCGCGGAGATACGTTGAGCCCTAGGGAGGCATCACACTTGCCAAGATGTCGCCCGTCAATTAAAAACTTCATATTTTATTTATCTCTTGCGATTGTTAATATTTACAGCCTTCTCCAGTTAGAGCACATCTATGCTGTTGGCTTCCAGTAGCAAAGCAAAATCATCTTAGCCTTTCAGCAACTATAGACAACGCTAACCTTGTTGTGAAACAGTGCAGAAGTAAGATAATTGGCCCGCTGTGCTTGAGTAATCTCTGTTACATGAAATAATCTTAATTTGTGTACGTGATTAAGTTGCTATATTGGGTAACCGAAGTTCTCAAAACTCAGCTTCAACAAATTACTTTCAAACCCAATCTGTTCTTAAGGTAGACTTGTGCTGTGCAACTCATTAACACACAGGAACCTCATTTTAACTTTGGTAGAAGCCCAGGATTTAAATTCAACATTTCAACTCATTCAAAGCCAAAGTGATTTACTGCTCAAAAAAGCATCAGGGTTGGTGCTCAATCTTATTGTTTACAGTCAGTGCTGGCAATTCCTCATCCCTATGGTGGGGGTGAGTTTCACTATTGGACAGCCACTGTTGACTTCCTACAAATTGATAATAATTCTTAATCACCCTGCAGCGATGATGCCTATGGTTGTGAGTTCAAGCGGAGTTGGGGCTCATAGGGCTAACACATTTCCTCTTGTGTTTATTCTCGGTGGCATTCTAAGGATATTGAGTTTTCGTTTGAACAGTGGTAAATGAATTTACCTACGTGACTTTACCAAAAAACCAAAGAGTATGGATCCTTGCAGTCACGAAAACTTCATATCTAGAATTAGTGGTAAATGAGCTTGTAATTTGAGTTGTACATTGTCGAATTAAAATCCTGAATTAAAGAGTTCATGCCATCGGCCATCGGCATGACTTTGTTTTGTAGGATGAGATAGATGTGATGACATTATTTATCCATAATAGAGGTTTTTTGGGTTAGACCTCGTAACTATAAAATGTGCCGTTAAACCCGCCACCACCCGACACAGCCAACTAGTAAGGTTTGTCACGTAAACAGAACGTGCCAATTCGTCACTAGCACAGCACACCGGTGTGTTGGAGAGCAAATCCACAGCATTTACAATCTGAGTGCGACGTTTAGCCAGCAATTTATGTAATGACGACTTACACACTTCTCTTGAGATGGCACTTCATTGAAGACACGTTCACTTGAAATCAGTCGGAGATCCCACTGCAACAGCCTCCCGCGCATCTCCCGCTTATAAATCAACACGACGCTCGCTCTACCGGCAACGCCCACTTCTGTCACCTGACCACGCTCCCTTCTCGAACATTCCCCGTGGCCACCAGTCCCTTCGCACTCACAACTGACTCCCCTGTCATTACCTCCCGTGGCCACCAGTCCCATCGCACTCACAACTGATACCCCTGTCATTACCTCCCGTGGGCACCAGTCCCATCGCACTCACAACTGATACCCCTGTCATTACCTGCCGTGGCCACCAGTCCCTTCGCACTCACAACTGACTCCCCTGTCATTACCTCCCGTGGCCACCAGTCCCATCGCACTCACAACTGATACCCCTGTCATTACCTCCCGTGGCCACCAGTCCCATCGCACTCACAACTGATACCCCTGTCATTACCTCCCGTGGCCACCAGTCCCATCGCACTCACAACTGATACCCCTGTCATTACCTCCCGTGGCCACCAGTCCCTTCGCACTCACAACTGATACCCCTGCCATTACCTCCCGTGGCCACCAGTCCCTTCGCACTCACAACTGATACCCCTGTCATTACCTCCCGTGGCCACCAGTCCCTTCGCACTCACAACTGATACCCCTGTCATTACCTCCCGTGGCCACCAGTCCCTTCGCACTCACAACTGATACCCCTGTCATTACCTCCCGTGGCCACCAGTCCCATCGCACTCACAACTGATACTCCTGTCATTACCTCCCGTGGCCACCAGTCCCATCGCACTCACAACTGATACCCCTGTCATTACCTCCCGTGGCCACCAGTCCCTTCGCACTCACAACTGATACCCCTGTCATTACCTCCCGTGGCCACCAGTCCCATCGCACTCACAACTGATACCCCTGCCATTACCTCCCGTGGCCACCAGTCCCTTCGCACTCACAACTGATACCCCTGTCATTACCTCCCGTGGCCACCAGTCCCTTCGCACTCACAACTGATACCCCTGTCATTACCTCCCGTGGCCACCAGTCCCTTCGCACTCACAACTGATACCCCTGTCATTACCTCCCGTGGCCACCAGTCCCATCGCACTCACAACTGATACCCCTGTCATTACCTCCCGTGGCCACCAGTCCCTTCGCACTCACAACTGATACCCCTGTCATTACCTCCCGTGGCCACCAGTCCCATCGCACTCACAACTGATACCCCTGTCATTACCTCCCGTGGCCACCAGTCCCATCGCACTCACAACTGATACCCCTGTCATTTCCTCCCGTGGCCACCAGTCCCTTCGCACTCACAACTGATACCCCTGCCATTACCTCCCGTGGCCACTAGTACATTTGCACTGCAGGCTGACTCCCCTGTCATTACCTCCCGTGGCCACTAGTCCCCTCACACCGCATGCAGGCTCTATTGTCATTACAATTACAACCAGCATCATCAGGCGACCACCAGATTGGTGTGGAAATCCTCCTGTTTTGACCCTTAAATGGAGGGGTCGATGTGATGACGTCCGTTGTGAGTCCAACTTGTTTGAAGAGCGGGGGGATTTAATCACATTCCTGCGGAGGGAGCTGGTAGGAACTTTGGGTCCACTCAGCCTCAAATTAGTACCTGGAGCAATGTGCGTTTTGCCGGGCAACCGCCTTCGTACGTGCTGCTCGCTTAACAGCATTTAACCCAACAGTCTGTTCAAGGCTATACGGGGGCTGTTAGCCTTTACCTAACTTTGACAAATACGTGCGTTGGGTGTGCATTTATGTATTATGCGTGCGCATTCTTTGCACACGTCATCGCGCGCTCGTGGTGTGCAGCTACGTGGGCGCTTATGTGTGCGTTTCAAAACAGAAGTCCGTGCAAGACAACCTCAAAGCTAATTAGGCTAATGCTTGTCGGGGAGGAAAGCTGACGTTTGAGCTGCACATCTGGATGCACTGCAGGGTTTTATTAGGAGCGAGGAGGCGCTTGGGAAGAGCCGTACAAAGTCAGCCATGTGGCGCTCTGCATCCCCCCCAATGTTACTTGAGTTTTAAATAATTTCTTGAGCGTTGGGCTTTAAATACCTTTGCGAGTTTTTTTTTCAGCCGCGTGTGCCGTGCACGTTCTTTTTTCACGCGAGGTTATTCGTTTGCATTCACGTTGCATTTCTTTGGGGTTTCAAGTAATATCTGTTTTATACTTGTATTTCACGTCTGCAACGTGCTTACATTGTGGGGTTAACTCCCGGGTGTGTGGTGGGGTGGGGGCTGGAGGTGCTTTCATATAAACCCATTCACTTGCGATTACACATATCCTCATTTAAATTATTAAACTATTTGTTATTTTACGAGGTAAGGCCCACCGAGCCACAGAGCTCTTTTTCAGAAGCGCTCCGGCCACCACAAATGACAGCTCAACGTACGACGCGGCTCATCACCACGTGGGAATTTCCAGCAGCCAAATACTCTTGACCGCGTGACGTCCATGCTAAATGTGGAGAGAGAAAAAAAAACCCAGAGGACCCTGGAGAAAAATCCACGCGACCACTGGGAGAACATGCGCACCCCAAATATACAGCAGGCGTCAGGGTCAATCAATCGATCTTTATTTTACGTGCCAATAACGCCCTCAATAAAGCCGTGCATCGGTGCACATCACGGCGCACGGGAACCGTACCGGGGGCACGGAGCAAGCGGAGTGGGAAAGAAACCCGTCACGACCGTGGGGCTAAAGGGTCGGGATCGAACCCACGATCTCCTGTACACCAGGCGAGGTAGTCAACATCTCCTAGCCACCGCGGCGCCCTCATCATCATAATTAGTCATCATCAGATTTGTGCTATCCACTGCTGGACAAAGACCTCTCCCTCCCACCCGCATCATCGCCATCCCTCACGGTCCTGCGGCGCATCATCCCATCTCGCTCCTGCAGCTGGGCTCATCTGCTCGTTGCCCGTGTACCGTCATGGCCACCGTGCCGGTCGTGCCGTTTGGCGCAGGGAGGGGTCTCCTCCCTCGGCCCATTCTCACCCACACCCAGTGACCTGTGTCCCTTGCCGAGCGAACTTTCTGCTGAGTCGACGCGATGCCTCGAATTTCTGTCTTGTTTTCTGCTCCGCCTGTTCTTCCTCCTGTGTGTATTTCCCAGCGTGCTTCGTAGCACACTTAAAAAAAATTTTGGTCAGTGTCCACGTTTCTAATCCGCACGTCATGATAGGTAGTGTGTTGCACACTTGACAATTAAATTTTGTTTGGCTCATAACGCAAAAAGGCTATTTTTAATTATAATATTGACTGAGAAAATCTACACGTTTTTTCCAAAACAAATTTACCTTCTTTTCCAAACAGGTAAAACAATTAGTCTTCTCTTATTCTGAAATAAGCAATAAATTGTCCATGTTTTCATTTTAAAATGTCTCTCTCATCTCTTTTTTTCTTTACTTACGCAGCGTAGAGAGAATTTGAAACTTTCAAACTCACATCTCGGACAATAACCTTTGCATTTCTACGGCGTTAAGTCTGGTATCTTGTCTTTCATATCAGCGCTGCTTATTGCCAACCTCGCATGAAAAAAACATTCGCCATTAACTCTTCCGATTGGTATCCTGAACGAGCTTCCAAGTTAGTCACCTCATCTGCGAACCTCGGATACAGAAATTCCTCCCAATAATTTTTTTGCAATGCTCCACCACGCTCTGAATCTGCGTCCACAGAACATTTTCACTTTCACATGAAGCCCTTCAGCGAGTTTTGGAGGCCACGTAATCGTAATCATCCGGTCCTGCTGAGCGTTCATCCTCCCTGGGATGTTGCGGTGATGTCATAGTAACTCGGTTGCCATTGGCAACTAAATAAAGTGGTGATGTCATCGTTACTCGATTGCCATTGGCAACTAATGTAGCGGTGATGTCATTTTAACTCGAGGCAAAAGAGAGCCAGCGCTGTAATTGGGATGGAGAAAAAAATACTGTGCACAACCGCCTCAGCAGGCGTCTAAATGCTACATTTGCGGTCGCGTTAACGTTATTGCCCTTTTGTGAGCGGTTGTTGATGGAGGTGGTCTTAATGCGACGCGTTGCAATCTCGTCACCGGAGATTCCCGGCCACGTACGCTGTTGGTAATCTGCATTGTGACACTGGAGTAATCTTCCCTTCGGTACAATGCATTTACTACGTATTCACATTTGCACTCCCGTCGTTATTTTTGTGTATCGTTTGCCGTTATAACTCGCTGACCACCCGCGCCCCCATACTTGGAACCTGTTATGAAGAGCTTGGTGGCTCATCGGATTTCTCCTCCTGCAATCTCAAACAAAGATCCTGACTCTTGACGTTCAGCCCAATAAGCGAGGATTGGGTTGCGATGCGTGGGAAGGGAACGAGCGGGCAAGTGATACGGGCAGCAGCGCTTAAAGATGCCCGGGGCCGCCTCGGGGTTTATTCAAAATCTCGGCAGTCGCTCGGCAACCGCGCCCTGCCCTCCGCAAGACGGGTGACGATTCTCTCTGAGCCCCTAGGTCGACTCGGCATCAAATGAGTACCCGGTGCGGTGTGTAAAACATCGCCTCTTGGGAGACAAAGGCGGCCTGGCGTGGTGCTGGCCACCCACCCCGTCGCGTGCAGTGCCGGCCTTCATAGGTGGCTCACTAATAGCACTTGCCCCAAAAGCATGTTAACGTTATATGGGGGGGGGGGAGGGGGATCTTTATCTTTGTGCGTTTGAGTAAAAGAGCGATGTATGTTGTGTTTGTGCATGCGTGTCCTGCATGCTGCATACTGTATATGAGCGCTGGTACAGAGCGTGGCTATATGGAGGTGGAGGGGTCTTTGCGTGCACGGGAACTCATCACACACACACATCTGTCTGCCTCTTTTCAGGATGCCTGCTCCGCTGAATGTCGCAAGAAGTCACATCAAAGATGTCCGTGTGAAGATCATAAAGGCCAGACGTGAGCACACGCACACTCACGTATTTGAATTTTTTTTCATTTGATTTTCGTCTTGAAAGACTCCCGACGGCACCCATTACCGCATTCACATCCACCGCAGAGCGAGAATGCGCTGGAGTCTGCACGTGGTCCGGCAGAAACGTACGAGAGTCTTTGGAAGGGCATTACTGTGCCTTCCCTTGGGTTGTAAAGATGCTGTAAGTGGCACAGCTTGAATGTCAGTTTTTTTTTCCTTAAGTGTTTATTAATGCACTTTGAAAGTCACAACCAAACTAGAGTAAACCCAAAAGGGCACTCCTGTTGACCCGTGCGTGTGCTGAATTCTTTGACTATGAGACCAGGTGCAGAAGGGGATCCTGGATGTGACCACCATTGCTGCACATTATCGAACTGCCAGCATTGTGAGCCCAAACGTGATATAAACAGAATCATTTTTAGAAGCAATATACAATAAAATTCGGATTTATCATTGTCATAATCACCATCATCATCAGCCATGGTCAATCCACTGCCAGATGGAGTGCCACGGAGGTGGGATGTTAACTACCTCACCTGGTATACAGGAAGTCATGAGTTCGATCCCAACCGTGATGCCTGTATAGTTAGAGTTTGCATGTTCTCCCCGTGCTGGCGTGGATTCTTCTCCAGGTCCTCGGGTTTTTACCTCCACATTTAGAATCAACGTGCATTTCGAGTATTTGTTTGATGTCAATTTTCACACGATAAGCCACTTTGTTGAGCATTTGTGGCCTGGTTGCTCTTGAAAATAAGCTGTATAGTGAAGTGGGCTATATAGTTCCTTAAACGTGTACTTTCCTATGTAATGGACGAGTAAGAAATCTATATCAATCTAGGGTATTGTGTGCTAATTTCATGGGCCGCATGAAATTTGGAGTTAAAAGAAGCTCACAAACAAACACCATGTCAAAGGCCCAACACAGAAGATCCCTCTGGGTTTGATCTTCCACGAAGCTCATGGTCCACCCTAAACCGCATCCACTGCACAAACCATGGCAGATGCGCAGATACCTGATGATGCACAAATGGAATATGTAAACTCTCCAGCGTGCGACTGGTCATCCAGAACAGACTGTACAACGTACACAATGCCCCGATCCACAAATACGAAGGGGGCGTCACAGCGATACACTCCGCTGTTTGTGAAATTGAAGTTGTTGCGCTGCATCTACATGAGCCATATGGCAGGAGAAGAAGATGGTCCACATTTCCTGAATTGGGAGGAAAGCACAAACACGTCAGATATAAAATTGCCGGATTTCTGTGCACAATCTGGGAGTGAGCGCTTGGCCAAAGGTCCCCACTGACTAGACGGAGGATGAAATGAGTACTTGTTGAGGGATTGCCTGAGATTGACTCAGCATGAAGGAGCATCAACCATCACGCATGACTCGGGTCATCCTCGCAGCGGCTTTTGGCTCGGCCATCTTACAAAGACGGTGACCGCATCGCGTAGCTTTCAGATGCGCTTCTGCGGCCGTCTGGAACGCTCTTCCGATATTTGGAAGCCACTGGGAGCTATGCACTTTTAAATCATCTACATTGACAAATTCACTTCTTTAGAACTGCTTTTTGTCTTTAGTTTGTTATCCTTCGCCGTTGCCTCCAATGAGCACGGTTGGCTGTGCACGGTGCGGAGCAAGTTCATCGCACACCCGCACGTGATGTGCCCATTGAGGCAAGGGTGATCATTCATTAGAGTGGGGTTCACTGTAACCTCATTAACAATTGCATGCCAACATCACTTTTCACCAAGGTCTCAACATCATTTAATACACGAATCGTTTCTACCTTTCAGTGCCAGTTCATGAAATGAAAAAAAACTAACCTTTTACATGGTGCAGGTGGCTTTTACTGAGTGAAATTAATTTCTCAGGTCAAAGGGTTAAAGGCACACTTCCTGCACCGTTGAAGCAATAAAGCAATTATCAAAGAGGCCGACGATTCAAGAATGATTATCCCGCAATGGGTAATGCATATCGAAATGGCTATCGCCCGCCAAAACAGCTGGGAGTTGATAAAAGAGGCGAGCGAAACACTTGCAAAGTGTGCGCTTCTAGCCAAATGTACAATTGCAATGCTGCGCACACCGTATTAGTCTCCGCTATCCTGTCATCTTGTGCATCTCATGTTCTTGCAAGCAAGCCTACTCTCTTAGTGAGATATATCTCTCGTGTTTCCATCCTTGCTGTACGTTTGTTTCCCTTTGTACAAGATGGATACAGGTCGAGGGCGCGCGGTTTCTTGCACTATAAACGTAGTCCGTTCTTCAGTCTCACAAGTAACGTCTACATGGTGATTTAAAGACGTCAAATAAATGTTCGGCATACCGCCTGTAGCCCAGTTGTGGTTGGGATATCGCACAAATGTTGTTAAATTCTCTTCCCGTGGGCGTCGAGGGGTTCTTCAGAGACAAACATGGAGACATATTCTTAGGTTTTTTAGGTAAAGTCACGTAGGTAAAACATTTTAATTAATACAAGTAAAATACAGATGCAGCTATCGTGCTGTGACGGTTCAACCTGAAGATGGAAGCTTGTGTTGCCTCCGAAACGTCGTGATTTTTATTTTATTTTTTATTTTACTTTTATTAATTTAAATTTTTTACCTACGTGACTTTACCGAAAAAACCTAAGAATATGAATCCTTGCAGTCACGAAAGCTTTAAATCTAGAAACATGGAGACACAACGACAGCAACAGCTGCCATTTACCACTAAGTGCCAGTGACGTCACCGCAGCGCTTGTGCCAGGCTCGGTGCAGCTTGAGGCCACGCGAAGTGTCAAAGGCTCTGCTGCTATGAGGTAATGGGTCAGACTAAGATGACTGGCAGAGGCACCGCCTGTGCTCCCTACTGTGTCAACATACACACAACAAAGACATTCACAGAGACTTGGAGACACACAAAAGTCACAGATAAATAGACAAAGTGGCACGGAGACAGGCAGACGCACCCTTTGCTTTTCTGTAAAGGAGCTTGGGCAGGACTTGTCGCTGGCCACTGACACCTACAGTTGAGAGACTCGCTTACATCTCGCACCTACACATTTGTGCATCTCCGTGTCTGTGTGTCTTATGTGTGTGTGCGTGTCTCCTTGCCTTCGTACATTTAAACCTTGTTAATTCAACACACATGGGGCTCTGGCCATGCCGAATTATCCAGTATTCCCAATTATGTGCAATGATACTCCCCAGTGACTCCTCCTGCCCTAATAAAAAAAAAAATCGAAATTCGTTTTCTAAAAATGATTTTCCAAAAAAAGTAACACCATCATCGTTGATCCTCTTGTGTACTTTTTTAAGCTGCTAGGGTCTTCCAAGGTTAAGGCGCGCTTCCTAATCTTCTCCCGGCCTTTGTTGATGTCGTAAAAGGTGCTTGATTTCATGTCAAACTCTTCACACACCATACGCATTGACACACGCCCTGCATCAATTCTATCCAAAACTTTGGATTTGTCTCGCAGACTCAGGGATTTATACTTCACTCCCTTTCTATTACTTCTTGATGTAGGCGGTGACGACATTTCTGAGAGGGTTGGCTTGCACAGAGCGTATAAGCAAAGTCAAGTCCAAAGCGACGACGAGTCTGTACCGACACTCACCACGTGCGCCACCACCAGACCGAGTCGTTGTTCTGGTCGTAGCGCGCGGCGTCGCTCCACGTGTCTGTCCAGAAATTGGACCATTCGGTACGGCAGTTCGGCTCACGGCGAATTAGACACATTCTTGCGGAGGGAGCTGGTAGGAACGTTGGGTTGCTCGGTCAATGGCCTGCAGGGTCAACGGCGGCGTGGTGTATTCCGCAAATATGGCCGACTGTGAGGGAGGGCACAAGCCGGCGTGAGTCGGTTAAACGTTTAAGGGCACCACGGGGTGACCAGCCCCTTCCCACCCAGCCTCATCCCTCCCCACCAGCCCCTCCTCACCCTCCCCTCCCCACCCAGCCCCTCCCCACCCTCCCCACCCAGCCCCTTCCCACCCTCCCCTCTCCACCCAGCCCCACCCCTCCCATTTTTGTATGCACGACGGACGGACAGTATAATCCCCTGTGGGCTGGCGTAACCAGGAGGTTCCTACCAGTATAATATGCCGTATATATGCTGAAAGCGCAGCCTTGCCGAATTTTCCCCGATCACGAGTGATCAAATACCAAAATGACGAGATTTTACTGTGTATCTGTCGTTACACGGGGGGATACGGAGACCGAAACGTGTCTCGTTTTTCACTTGTGTGCAAACGGAGGATTTCAGCGATCCCTGATGCGCTATGAAAACTCCCCATTATTGACGGCTTTTTTTTTCTTCTCTTCACGCACAATATGCGCGTTTAGGCATGGCAAATTTATCCAATTAGCCACGGGGTTATCCAGAATGTTTTACCCCGTGGATAAGTGGAGTAGCATTGTGGATAACCCACCGCAGATAATAGAATCTGCAATATCGGTCCCTCCATATCACCATGGGCTCGTATGGCGAGTTTTCCTGTGCTCTTAATTTATTTTTCCTAATTAAAAGTTCATTCCGTATTAAAATGTACGTGATGATTGTCATTTCGAAGAAAGCATTGGTAAAAGTAATCCAGTAAATTTATCTGAGACAAATATTGTATTATACATTACGTTCCTTTCGGTCATTAAAAACGGATTACTTTTAAAAGTTACCCTCTCCCAGACATCGCTTTATTATTCATTCATCCCCGAGACCAGCAAAGCAATTAGAAAGTAATGCGTCTGCATGATGGGCGCACTGCAGTGGCGAGATGTTAACTACTTCGCCAGGTATACAGGAGGCCGTGGGTTCGATCCCGACCCTGACGCCTGCTGCTGTATATTTGGAGTTTGCGGTGTCTCTCTCATAATCATCACGGTGGCTAGGAGATGTTAACTACTTCGCCTGGTATACAGGAGGTCGTGGGTTAGATCCCGACCCTGACGCCTGCTGTATATTTCTCTCTCCCCGTGGTCGTGAGGATTTTTTCTCCGG